TGTCCCTGCTAGTCCATGGAACCAGAAAAGTTGTGGACCGCTGATCTATGGAGTTCCTTTGTTGAAAACATTTTGATGGCACATAATCAATCAATCAAATCATTGAAATGTTAAGAATTGACTTCTGAAGAAAGTTGTGATGACATGGACAACTGTTGGCATTCTATTCTATTATTAATCTCTTGTTCCTTCCATCCTTGAGTATAAATTTATAACTAAAATCCAATGGTATTGAACCATACACATCTCCCTAAATATTTATTTGTATTGTTTTATGTCTAAGCTAAGCCTAAATCAAATATAAATAAAAAACCCAATATAGCCCGGCAAAGGATAGTGTTTCCTTTTCTGGATTAGAAGACAGACCATGCAGTCACAGAACACATTACAGCTTGCTTTGAGTTTTTATTTCTTTGAAGATTTTGAAAGATTTGTAGATACACAATCCTATCTACTTCTGCATTTACAGTTTCTGATTCAAAATATACTTGCATAAATGTTCAAAGCCCATAGGAAGAATCAAGACTTCAGTTCCTTGTACAGTGTTTTCAGGAGTGGAGTTATACTTATCCTGTTTCCCTGAAAATATGACCTACGCGAAAAGTAAATCCTAGCTTGATTTTTACTGTGCACTCAATATAAGCTCTAATTCAGATCTCGCCCATTCCAGAGTGCACAGATAAAATTTAAGCTAGAGTGGGTCTGCGGGGCTGGAGCTTCCCTTCTACTTATCTTTGGACAGTTGTAGCCAGGCCTCACACATTGTGACACCTGCCTTTCCAGCCCATTTCTTCTGCAGCCAGCAAGGCTCGCAAGGCTTTCCTGAAGGCCTCTGGAGCTCGTACCAAAGCTCAGGATCTGTCTGGAGCTCTGTAATTGGCTGCAGAGGCCTTCAGGAAAGTCTTGCTGGCCACAGAAGTTCCTGAATGTCTCTGACATTGAAAAGGAGGCCAGGGTTAACATAAGCAAATGAGGTTAGTCAGTGGATGACATCCCTCGAAAATAAGACTTGGTTCCTTTTTTGGTGACAAAAGAATAAAACAGGGCATCATTTTTGGGGAAACATGGTATTTTTGATTATATGCTACCAACTTAATATTTATTTTGGGTTAATTTAATCCCTGATCAAGGCTTCAGAACAATGGAAAAGAGAGCCATTTGTTATGATCAGGATTCAATTTTTTATTAGATCCATTCATATACAAAGTCTATTTGTACCTAATAAAATACAGTTACATTGGATGAAAGTTATAATCTTTAACTGCATCTCAAATACAAGTTACATACTTTCCATTGATTTAGGGATTCATTGTAACCTGCAATCTGAACAGGGGTGCCTAAATCTTTTGACATCAAATGACATAAAACCGTTTATCTGAAATGGTATAGAGGGTTTCCTCTTTGAGCAGGGAGTTTATATATACTGACTAGAAGATCTTCCAGGTCCCTTCCAATTCACTTATTCTGTTAATTTTGCTGGGAGTTATTTAACCTGTATCCTAATGTAACCAACATTCTTTTTGTATCCTATGACTTCAATCTACACATGAAACTGACTTTTCCTCTACTTTCTTTGCAATCTAATTTCTGATCTTTAAAATCAGAATCATTTGTACATTCAAAGTAGTATTAACTCATAGAAAAGGAGTGGACAAGGTTTGTATTTATTAAAAGGTCTATCACACATTGGCATGAAAGATAAGAGGTCCCACATTATAGTCTCAAAAAGAAAGGCAATGCTAAATTCTAGGGATTTCCTTTTTATCTTAGGATATTTTCCTATCATTTTATTTTTCATTCCATTTCAGATTTATTTTAATAAAAAAAATAAATTATATATTTCCATACTGTGGAATGGAGGGAAGCTGTATGGATTTGTCAGTCTAAGATTCACATACTATCTTTAAAAAATTCAGAAATCAAATCCCAAATTGTTTGTATTTGAATTCAATTATCCTGTTTGCATTGGTTTGAAATTTGACCATGGTTTGCATTTTGAAGGATATATATATATATATATATATATATATATATATATATATA